ATATTGAAGGGAGACGACGTTGGGAGATTGAACAAGTTGGAAGTTTTTTATGGCCGATTTCCCACTGTGAATGACGTGAGAATCTTTCTTAAATCCCAGCCTAGTAAGCTGAATAGCTATTTTATTATTGTTGGAAGCAATTTGGATTACTTTAATAAGGCAAAGATTTATGAAAGTCCAGAAGGGTTATCAAGATATGAGAAACTAATGCTGTTCCGGGAGACTAGTATTGTTGGAGAGAATACATTATGTCCCTCCGTCCAATTCTTATTTATTTGTTATTGCCACAACATAAGAAGCTTAAATGATTTTTCTGAAATTAAAGATGTAACAGATTTGAGTAGATGTGTGATTTGGGGTTGTGATGGCATGGAGTGGATTCTTTCCTCGTGGATAAATAGCGGAGTCGTCCAAACCCTTAAGTATCTAGAACTTTGGGGTTTGGACAAATTGGATGGGCTATTTGAAGCAGACGTTATTGCGAAGTCATCACGTCCACGTGGGATTTTTTCATCTCTTAAAAAAGTTGTGATTCGCGAATGCAAAAAAATAAAAAAGTTGTTTCCATCTTGGAAGTTGGTGGAATGTCTCAAAAAGCTTGAAGATCTTTATGTCGACGACTGTGAAGAAATGGAAGAAATAATAGCATCAGATCCAGAAGAAGAAGGAGAAGAAGGAGGGGACATCATCAAGAAGCTCATTCTTCCAAAATTAAAAAAGCTGACATTGTCGGATTTGCCCGCATTAAAGAGCATCTGTAGCAGGAGGGCAGTAATAGTATGTGATTCTCTTGAAAGCTTTATAATTTTTAGATGTCCTCATTTATCTCTCGATGTGTGGGACAACTTGGATTGGGTGTTTGAAGTAGAATTGATTGCCACGTCACCACCTCGGTCTAGCACTTTTTCATCTTTGAAGGAAATTGAAATTTGGCATTGCAACAGAGGAAAGACGTTGTTTCCATCTTGGAAGTTTCTGGAATATCTCCAAAGTCTAGAAAGGATTTCTGTCGGATATTGTGAAGAAATGGAAGAAATAATAGCATCAGATCCAGAAGAAGAAGGAGGGGACATCATCAAGAAGCTTATTCTTCCAAAATTAAAAGAACTAGATTTGCAATTCTTGCCTGCATTGAAGAGCATCTGTAGCAGGAGGGCAATAATGGTATGTGATTCTCTTGAATCTATTAGCATTTGTACTTGCAAGGCCCTAAGGAGGATTCGTTTTTGTCTCCCTCCTCGTCAATCTCTTTATGGGTTGGACGACTTGGAGGATTGGGTGTTTGAAGTAGAATTGATTGCCATGTCACCACCTCAGTCTAGCACTTTTTCATCTCTTAAAAAAGTTGATATTGGCAGCAGTTGCAACCAAGTAAAGAAGTTGTTTCCATCTTGGAAGTTTGTGGAATATCTCCAAAGTCTAGAAAGTATCTCTGTCTATGACTGTGAAGAAATGGAAGAAATAATAGCATCAGATCCAGAAGAAGAAGGAGAAGAAGGAGAGGAAGGAGGGGACATCATCAAGAAGCTCATTCTTCCAAAATTAAAAAGGCTGTCATTGCAAAAATTGCCAGCATTGAAGAGCATCTGTAGCAGGAGGGCAGTAATGGTATGTGATTCTCTTGTAGAGATTGGAATTTGTGATTGCAAGGGCCTAAGGAGGATACCTCTTTCTCTTCCCGTGGTTGATAACGCCCAACCATCTCCTCCTTCCCTCAAAAAAATCCACATGTATCAACGAGAAGAGGAATGGTGGGAATTGTTGGAGTGGGACCATCCCAATGTAAAGGATGTCCTTCGACCCATGGTTCAATTTTTTCCCGATGATCTCCGGCTTCCATAATCAGAGTCGGAACAGTTGGAATCGGTGGATTATCCACAAGATTGAAAGGTGAGGATCAAATTGCTATTTTAATTTAGGTGTTACGTTTGCATATCTTTGTTTTGGCATTCATTTCCTACAAATTGAAAAAAAATTTAATGAATGAAAATGCATAAATAAATTCCTTGATTATTGTTAAAAATATATAGTAGTGCTTAATTTCCCTTCCCAATGATTTTCAAGTAATGAATTTTTCCTTTTATTTTTTCATTGGATCAGGAAGTCGGTTTATTCAGCCAGTCTGTTGCTTTTCGTTCCGGGCTTCAAAGGATGTCCTTTCTACTACCCTTGTGTGGATTGTTTTAGTGTGATTCTTGTGTTTTCATATGCTGTTTGTAACTTAATTGTGTTGAAAATTGATTTAGAACACCATATGTATTCTTATGTATTTTCCTGCATTGTTATATATCTTGGTTGTACTATGGTCCATGTACAAACAGAAATATGTGTTTTCAATCTAATCTTTGATAAATTAACTGGAGAGAAAGCAGGAATTCCAACCCACAACAATCAACTCACGAATTCATTGATTCTCTTCTTCTTTGCTCTTTCTTCTTCTTCTTCTCCTGTTGTGTGATTGCTTCTTGTTCAAAGTACAAGATGGAAAGATTTAGGGAAACATTGGGAGCCAAGAATTGCTTTTCAGTTCTTTATTCTCTGAACAGTTCTTAGTGTAGACCTTAGGAATTATATAGAAGTCAGATTGCGATTCATATTGTCACATCTTTACAAGCCTGAATGAGATCATAGTTATTTAACTAGAATAGAAGGCTTAGTGCCACACTTTCTTACCTAAGTGGCCAAGATTTAATTCTCTAATCAAATTCACTGCTGCCTTATAAGAAAAATAATCCAAATTAATTTGTCCTTGCTGTTGACATAATGTAGGATGAAGGATACATTGATACAGATGAGTAAGGGTGTGCTAAAGGAACCTACTGCAATTCTAATTGTTGTCTTGTTTGGTGATAGACCTCCAACATTGTCAAAGAAAGATGTTACATTCACCCCTTTCTACTCCATCCTCGATCACTCTCAACCTTAGGTGCATACCAATGCAACAATGGTTATCCTGCACGTTTTCTGCATCTAGTTTTGCACAAATACTCAATGCATGGGTTAGCCCTCATTTTTTAAGAAAAGTTGAACAATGGGAAATTATCTTAATGATTGTAAGTCTTAGTTTCCAAAGCTGATTTCCATTTTTTCTGTTTGCTACCAAAATGGAATGAATCCCTTAGCTATCTTATAATTTATTTTGAGTTTGGTTTCAAACTAGATAGGGCTAATGGGGAAAACACTTCTTGAGTTTCATCCACATACAGAGATGTTCTTCTTGCTCACAAGGTGAGGACTCAAATAAATGGTTTGGAGCTCTAACATTTTTGTTGGTTTTGGTGCAATAGTTATACTTTACTTTGTGTACTGTTAGCATATTGGCTTTAATTATGATGTGAGGTAGACAATAATTCCCTTCTATTAATGTGTTTAAGTGAGATTGTTCTGTTTTATACAAAAGTTCAGATTGTGGA